CATTCCACCCCAAAGCAACAGAATAGACATTCTTCTAAACTGCATGGGGAACATTCCCCACAATAGGACATATTCCATGCCATAAAAGACTTAATAAATGTAAGATGATTATGATATCAAATTATATCAAGCATCTTTTGACTACAAGTGTATGACAATAGAAATCAATTACATGAAGAAAACTGGAAAATTTATAAACGTGTGGAGATTAAGCAACATGCTCTTAAATCTTCATTCAAAGAAGAAATCAAAAAATAAATGGAAGTAAAGCATACCAAAACTATGGGAAATAGCAAAGTACTTCTAAAGGGAAAGTTCATGGTGATAAATACCTATACTAACAATTTTGAAAATCTCAAACAACCTAAATCTATACCTCTACGATGTTTTTAAAAAAAGAACTAATCGCAATGGTATTAGCAGTCAAGGAATAACAAAGATCATAGCAGAAATAAATTAGAGACTGAAAAGATAAATGAAACAAAAGATAATTAAAATATTCAAACCATTAGCTGGCCTTCCCAAGACAAAAAGAGAACTCATAAAATTAGAAATGAAAAAGATGTTAAAATTTATATTAAATAAGTACAAACGATCAAAAAAATTACCCTGAATGATTATATGCCAACAACTTTGGACAACAGAAGAAATGGACAAATTTCTAGAAACAAACACCCTCTCAAGTGAATAAATATAAAATTTAAGCAAACCAATGACTAATAAATCAATTGAATCACTTATCAAAAACCTCTCAACAAAGAAAAGGCCAGGACAAGATGGTTACACTGATGAATCCTCCCAGACACTTAAAAAAGAATAAATATCAATTCTCCTCAAATCTTTTAAAATGTTAAAGAGGAGGGAACAAGTCTAAACTCGTTTTACAAGGCTAAGCTTGGCATGGTATCCAAACCAGATGAGACTACAAAAAGAAAAGTAAGGCTGATATTCTTGATTAACATAGATGTAAACATTCTCAACAACAAATTAAATGAAAAGGATCATATTATATTAAAATGAAAAGGATCATATACCATGATTAAATGAGATTTATTCCAGCAATGTAAGGATGATTTAACATCTGCAAATAAATCAATATATTACATTGACAAACTGAATGATAAAGATCATGTGATAATTTCAACAGGCACATTTACCAAATTTAACATGCAAGTTTATTTCTCTGCAGATTTAAAAGCATTTCAGTAATTTTTCATATTGGGAATATTGACAGGGTCAGATGATATGATTATGGCTTTGGATTATAAAAACAGTAACACACGAACAAGGGAGGGGAACACCCTTCCTTATTCTTGGTGTCAGCTAGGTGGCATGTTATGGCAGCTTTCCTTCATGATGTAACAGTGTCATGGAGAAAATCAGAGGCAACAAGAATGTGTTCAGTTGAAGATAGCAACTTGGCATCCTGGTGAAGCCAATGCAGTCCCAGCCGGGTGTAACAAACTTGGTCTGTAATGAGGCTAGAATTAAAGATGAGAGGGTCCTTTACTTTATCCAGTTCAGCAAAGAAATCTTTTTGTTCTTTGGAAAGCTAGCAGCTCAGCTCAGTTCCAACTTTCTGTTTGGTAAAACTCTAAACAAAGACAGTATGGAAGGAACATTCCTCAACATAATAATAGTCACACATGACAAGTCCACAGCTAATAACATCATATTCAGTGGTAAAAAGGTAAAAGCTTTGCCTCTAAGATCTGAGATAAGACAGAGATGTCTACTCTCACCACTATTATTCAAGATAGTACTGGAAGTTCTAGACAGAACAATTCAGCAATAAAAAATAAGAGGCATCCAACTTGGAAAGGAAGAAATAAAACTGTCTTTATTTGCATATGACATGGTCTTATATATAGAAAGCCCTAAAACTCACTACAAAACTGATAGAATTTATAAACTTAATAAAAGTGCAAGATACAAAGTCAATATACAAAAATCAGTTGCATTTCTAAACAGTAATATTGAACTATTAGAGAAATTAAGAAACTAATTCCATTTACAATTGCTCCAAAATGAATACAATACCCAAGGATAAATGTCACCATGAAGGTGCAAAACCTGTATACTGAAAAAAAAAAATACTACAATATGTACAACATAAACCACAAAAATCTCAAAGATCTAGAATAAAAGTGAAGGCATCACACTTCATGATTTCAAACTATATCATACAACTACAGTAATCAAAACAGTCTAGTATTGTCATAAAAAAAAGACACAAAATAATGGAACAGAATAGGGAGCTACAAATCCATGCATATATGTTGAACTAATTTATGTCAAAGGAGCAAAGAATATACACTGGGAAATCGGTAGTTTCTTTAACAAATCGTGCTGGGAAAGCTGAACAGCCACATGCAAAGAATGAAACTGGACCTCTATTGCATTTTATGCTCAAATAAATCAACTCAAATAAGCAAATGGGACTTAAAAGATTTTGTACAGCAAGCAAAACAACATATATATATATTGAGCCTCAATCTACTGAATGGGAGGGAATATTTACAAATCGTATCTGATAAGGGGCCGGTACCCAAAATATAGAAAAAACTTATAAAACTCAGTATCAAAAATATAAATAAAATTTAAAAATGGGCAGAGGATCTGAATACACATTTTCAAAGAAGACATATAGGCTTATGAAAAGAGGCTCAACATCACTAATAATGAGTGACATGCAAATCAAAACTATAGTGAAAACCAACTCATATCTATTAGAATGGCTATTGTAAAAAAAAAAAAAAAAAAGACAAGAGGAAATAAATTATGGCAAGGATGTGGAGAAAAGAGAAGCCTACATTTTGGGGAATGTAAAATGGTGCAACCACTATGGAAAACAGTATGGAGGTTCCTTAAATTTGTTTTAAAAATAGAGCCATGGTATTATCCAGAAATTCTACCTACGGGTATTTATCCAAAGAAAATTAAAACACTAACTGGAAAATATACACTCCTGTGTTCAGTGCATCATTATTGAAATAGCCAAGGTATAGAAACAACCTAAAAGTTTATATAAATACTGGATTTTTGTTCAGCCATTAAAAAAAAAATCAAATTTTGTTGTTTGCAAAAATTATGGATGGACTTTGAGGTATTATGCACGTAAGTGAAATAGAACAGGCCGAGAAAGACAAATACTGCATCGTATCACTTACTACATATATATATATTTAATATATACTATTATATATATATAATTTTTTTTAAAAATCAATAAAAAAAATTCACAAAATTGCTGCCCATGGCTGAGGTAACTGGGGTGAGGTGGATAGAAGTATAAGGCCTGAGGATCTAATAAAACATGGTGACTAATTGATGACTATGTTGGTAACACTGTAAAATTGAAATTTGCTAAGGGAATAGATATTAAATATTCTCACCAAAAATAAATAAATTAGTATGTGAGGTGATGGATGTGTTAATTATTTTGATAGGGGCAATCCTTCCATAATCAAGTTCCACAATGTACACTTTAAATATCTTGCCACTTTGTCAATTATAATTCAATAGAGCTGAATTAATTTGGAAAAACATTGTTTTCATATTTAAAACAATAAAGATGTGAATAATTAATAAATGGGTGAAATTTAAAGCTACAGGGCTGAATTAAAACACCTAGGGAGACAGTATAAATAAAAAAGAAAATAGGAGTGAAAAATAACCCCTGGAATAATCAAACATGGAAAGATCCTGAAGAGAACAAGCTGAACAGGTTAAGATGAACCACAAGCAAGTGTAGAGGAAAGATGCCTGAGAAAATATTTCAAGGAGAGAATATTTGCTGTACTTTGTCAAATGCTCCTGAAAAGTCAAATAGGATGAGGACTGAGAATTGATCATTTTTTTAACTATCTCTTTGGATTTAGGGCCTATCTTTTAAAAGTGAAATTTCCCTTAATTGATTCTTTTTCCTCAAAAATTCTGTTAAACAGACAGACAAAAGCGTTCTGCCTCACAATACAATTCAAAAAAGAAATTGTATTTATTTATTGGGTAGCAATCATTGTATAAGCCCTAGTGAGCAAAGAGTCAATGTTCTATTCTCTGGGAGTTCAGAGTTTTTTGTGTAAATATTCTTAATATTATATTTAATTAATTACCTTTGTACTGGCATACTTACAGAACATTATTTTTATTATTGGAAGGTCAACCTTGGATTAGTAAATTCTTAAATGATGTTTAGAAAAATAATTAGATATGAGGGTTTTCTATTAAATTTAACATATTAAAAGGAATTAAATGATATAGAAAATATTATAGAATACAGAACCTTGGAATAAAAGATAAATAATAATTTTGTATTTCTAGAGAACGTAATGAACCACAACTAGACACTGGGTAACCCAAATGAGTATATGCATTACCCACATTCATGGTTTTCTAAACAAAACTTGATAGCTTAGCTCCTTTAGTATGCTCTTTCATTTATGGTTCAAATAAGTTCTTTTTATTTTAATTCTTGATGGAGGTCCAGATGCTACATGTGCAGTGTGGGATGTTCACCTTTGAAACTAGATGTAAGGATATGGAAAATAGAAGTTCACTTCTCAAATTTATTTATTTTACCAGTCCCAAAATTTGCCTAATTGAGCATAATTGCTAAAAGCATAATTCATGGCAATTGTAAAACATGCTGTTAAATTTTATTTTTATTTATTGTATTTATGAATATATGGGAACACAATCATATGAGAGGGTTTTTTTAAATTAGAAATTAGTACATAACTCAAAATAGCATTCACTATTAAAATATTTTCTTTCATCATCATCAGAAACTACAATAAAATTATAAAGCATTCTAAATGGTACTAGGGGAAATTTCTTTATCCTAAATCACTGAACAATAACATCTGGGAGAATGTAATTTATTTGGACTCAAAGAAATTTTATAAGGTGAGTTCAGAAGTGGACTAAACCCAGGTGCTCTGAAAGACGTCTTACTAAATATTTTTCAGGATTTTTTTCCCCCCTGTTCTTTCCAACAGGAGGATTATACCGACTGTGGTGGCGCCTCTGGATTAAATGCCTCCCTGTGGTCCATCGTTGGAATCCAGTTTGTACTTCTTTGGCTTTTATCTGGCATCAGACACTGCCAGTTATGACCTTCCAAAACCAAATCTGCATCATTAAAACTCCAGACCCTGCCAACACGAGTCCTCCACTGCATTCACATAGGGTCGACCTCGGATCAGGAGAACATTAGCAGGGTCCATAACATGGCATAAGTCTCTAAGGCACAAACTCCGAAGGCGCCCACTGGCTGCATGTCAGGGTGCCAAATCCTGAAACTTGTCCGAATGTTGCATCATCCATGTATACCATCAAAGCAAAATTCTGTACGTGCTTTCCTGGAGAATTTGAAAGTTTGCTGTTGTTGGTGATTACTTGTACAAGGGCTCCCCACACAACTGTTTCTGACTCACACAAATTGTCTTGAGTTTGACCTGGAATTTGACTTGCTTCAATCCTTGTTCTTTTACCAAGAACACCTCTAGGGGGGGGAAAAATAAGGGTTGTTTTGTTTTGTTTTTTTCCTTTACTTATTCTTCTGTTGACCATGATTTCCTGCTTTGAGTAGTTATTATTGAAATATGTATATATAGAGAGAATTAATATTGATGTAATCTGTTGAAATAGAAATAATGGCTAATTTTCTATTTAAAAAAAATCGCCGTGAATAAAATGCCTTATGAAGAATGGCTTCTCTGCCAAAAATGTTAACACAGATGATGACTAGTTAAGTTTTGGTGGGGTAATAAATTGGTTGTTTGAAAATAATAAGAAGTTATTATACTAAAGGTGCTTGAGGGTAAAATTTGAATAGTTGATGTACTTCCTCATAAATGTAAGCCCTTACTAATTGCTTCAGTGTACCGTTCCTTTGTTCACAGTAGAGTTATGTAGTGCTAGCCAGATATTTCAAAGTGCTCTAAGAAAAGCTTGTCGGGGTGAGGGGAAGATGTTTTTTCTTGTGATAACTTTGGTTACCAAGGGTATTTTGCATGATGCTGCTGCTATGTTAACTTTGTTTTTCTCTTAACTGTATAGTCCATTGAGCAGTTACCTGAGTGACATTATCGTTATGTAAGAATCTGAACCTTGCGGTGTAATGCACCTAAGTCATCTTTAAAAACATTGTTAAACTACTCTGAATATACTGTGCAATGTAAATGCTGAATGGCTGGGTTAGACAAATGGTGAAATGGGAATTAACGGATTTTATACAGATTCGTGCTTTTGCCTGAAAACCTATGTACAGATATTTTAAGTACATAAATCAGATTTGACACATTTATTTTTTGAAAAGTACATATATGTTCTCAATGAAGATTCATTCTAGGTTTCCTCTTTGTTCGTTTGAATAGCGGCACCTACAATCCAAAAGTGTCTGCTGCTGCTGCTGCTGCTTTGTCCCTCCATTTTCAATGGTCTGAAATTGACCAAAATTTCCCATGCAGATTGATGAGGGTTTTACAAGAATCTGAACAAACAGGAAACCTTGAATCTATATGTATGCACATGAATACTTGATTATGAATAATCAAAATTGTTTTATACAACCTCATTGATGAAAATAGTTAGTGTAGTAAATCAAATATTCCATTATAGAAGAATATGGAAGCCGGATATTACTTATACTTTTAAAAGTTATTTTCAAGAATAAACAGTATTTGAAGAAAGGGTGAAAACTGAATGTGTAACTCTAGTTGTAGTGAGTAATTCTGCTAAAAGTCGGAAGTATACAGATATTTTTTATGGTAAAATGCATTTGTTCTTTTTTGAACATGCCAAATATTGGTGTGTGTGTGTGTATGTTGGAAATTTTCTTATATATCCTTTTAAAGTCAAAATCTTATAAACATTATCCAGCATGCTTTAATATGCTCACCATAGCAAAGATATAACAAATTCTTTAACTAGCTTAAAGATTATATTTGTTTTGACTTTAGCTTTGCATACATTTGTAATCTCCTACCACCAATATACCCTAGGTACTATTTGTGTACATTTCCTTATTTAAAATATTTTTTAATTTAAAAATGGGGAGATTGGGAAATGGATTCACTTTGCCAACTATTGTTCTAAGAGTTAACATCAGTTACCATTTCTAACGCATTGTGATTTTGTAGTCTCATTTGTAACTGGTATTGACATTTTAGAAAACACCAAAGTGTTTAAAAACAAAATGTGGAATTTCTCACTCTAGAAATGTTTAAATCATGTTGTTAATTAAATATTTAAAACTTATTGTTAACTTTTGCTAGACTATTTTAAATGAAGAAAGTGTTGGGAGGGGATATCAAAATATAAAATTGTTTGTGTATATAAGCAACACATTAAAACAATGGAATTGCTTCCAGCATACAACAGACTACCTTAAAATTATCTTTAAAATCTATTAAATATATTTTCATGACTAATGTCACAAAATATTATGTATTCAATATTGTTGTATTAATGACAGTTAAACGTGGCATCTCTTGGCAGGATCCTATTTGATTTTATTTGCCATAAAAATATATTTAATGCATGAGTCTTGCTGTGATCTTTTATTTTCTGCTGTACAAGATATTAATATATTATGACAGACACATACGTGATTATAATTGGGTAAGAATGTGCTCTGACTAAAAATTGTTCTGAATCCTAATACTTGTCTTTATGCCTTTTGCATACATACTTTTCTGTAAGACAATAACACTCATCCCATCAAATGTGTATCTTTAATTTCGGATTTTTCTCTGAGTTCTAATTGTTGTAAAAAACTTAAATTATAGCCTATTATATATATTGAGTTTCAAAGACTGAGCAGTACAAGAGATCAAGAAAAGAGCTTTCAAATTCTTCATTTGTGCTATACTCATGCAGCTTAAATTCGTTTGTCATTAAAACAAATTCAAATAACTCTTGCATTGGTGTGGAGTAACAGGAATAAATTTTGCATTAATGGTTTTCTTCATTTGAACAACCAGCATTACTGCCAAACACCAATCGTGGTCCATATTTGTAACAGGTTTTTAATATGACATAGCAAGTTTGACTGAAGAGATTTTGAGGTCCTGGACCTGTAAGATTTTAGTATGATCTTTTTTCATGTTTCTAATGTTTGAAGCATTATTGCTTAACTTGGAAAACAAAAACATAAAAAAACGGAACAGTGTTGCTGCCATTTGTAAGTTTTCTTATAATATTCCTTTTATTAACTTTAAAACTGGCCTTACTGGACTCAAATAGGCAGTATCCCTTTTTAAGTGACCTTTCCAACCCAAGTGTTACTTGCTTATTTGATGCTCTCTTGTATTTCCCATCTCATTTAAATCTTCCTCTCCACCAAAGCGGAAATTCTATGTCTTAATTTAAAACTCTAAACTATTCCATTATCATGGTAGTTGACATTAAAATGTCTAGAGATACAGAGTTTGTTCCAGTGAAACAAAATGTAGTGATTTTATTTTTTTAAGTGTAGAATAGAATGATGATTTCACTTGCCCACAATTTTAAATACCTTATTGTTATTGGAATGTTGTTCTGCTCAAAGCAGAATGTTAATATTGCTAACAATTCGTGTGCATTTGTGTAAAGAGCAAATCCATATAACTAATGTATCAAGTGTTGGAAAAAATCCAGAATTTCAAAAACTTAGACAACCCTTACCAATAGTTTCATGTACTTTGTTTATACAGCTCACGTAATTCACTCGGAGAAATGCCTCTGAGACTAATGGGATACTGTCTTGTATAGATGCCAATTGAGTTTACAGTGTGACCTGACAAAGCTCTCTTTTTTGTTGTGCTGTATGATTGTTGGATCATGCTTTTTAGGATGTTTTTATTAAAATGCTCAGTGTGCATCCATGCAAAAGGCCAAGTGGCTTTGTGAACAAAAGATCTTTTCTCCCATTTATTATGTTCTCTTGACACTTTTGTGGAAATTAAGTAGCCTGATGAAAACATTTTGTAAAAATTTGTATAATACTGTTATAAAAATATTTATAATCCCAGAAAATGTTGTGTTAAATCTTGTGCAAAAACAGTATATTCAGAATAAAAGTTTATCATTTAAAGTCATGACAGTTTGGATTTAATTACTTAGAATACAGTTGAAAGAGACGATGGTTTCTATCATAAATATGTTTTAAGAAAGCCGCCTTTCTGTGGAAATAATTCTAGATTTTGGAAGCAAAAGCTGAGATTGCAAAGTACTTCTATAAAACCTCAAGTCACAAATAAACAAATGAACTTGCAATTCCTTCATGTAACTCTGACCCTTCTCACGTGCACTTTTGTCATCAAGGCATTTAGAAATTTAGTAAGTCAGGCTTCTGATTTCTTTAGAAAACAAACAAACAAAACAAAATACAAAAAAAATTCTAGGCAAAAAATGTTAAACCTGGATAATAGTTTGAATGAAACTTGTTAAAATATCTGAACTATGCATATTTTTCATTACATCTAATATTTAAATATTTCTGCTAGCTATTTTATGCCAGCTAAGACAATGAAGTTTATAAAGAGTTTAAAATACACACACACACACACACACATACACGCACAGTTCCTTTTACATTGAAACCAGCTTACAATCTGCCACCCTATGCTCATTTAATAATCAAGTAAGAAGCCTGATATTATGTGGAACCCAGTATAATGTAAGCCACTTTTCTTTCTGGAGACTTCCATGTGAAAGCAAAAAACACCTACATGTGAGAGGAATGTGGTATGTAGGTACCCTAATTGGTGGTTACTAGAAAATTTGACTCTTTAGTTTCTGATCAAGGCATTTTAACAGGAAAACCCCTACCTCAAAGTGTAAGGTAGATAACATTTGTTTTTGGAACATCTGGCTCCATTCTGGACCAATGTATCACCTCCATCAACCCTCTTCCTTCATTTCCTCTATCAATCATCTTGGTGGCCCCCCTTGTCCCCCCTTCTTTCCCCTTCCCTCCCCCTGTCTCTTCCATGGGGACTTCATTTCATCAGTTCTCTCTTAAGCATGTCCAGTCCTCCCTTTCTGCAGGCTCACTTCTCTCTGCCTGTAAACACATTCAGGACACCTCTTTCTAAAACAGCAAACTCAAACATCCGCCACTGCCCATTAG